TGGTGACCGCGCAGTGACGTCACGCGCACCCATTGGCATTTAATTGCACGTAAACGTTAGTTAAATCCGGTGAGAGGATTTGGCAACGAGTTCTCAGCCGTCTCGAGCGTTGCACGCCACCGAAAACATAGAATAAACGGCTCTTCGTCTACCGTCAGTGACGTATCCGTCAAAAAATAACCACTTGCGGCTCCGCTGCTGCTCGAACGCCTCGCCCCTTCGCTCGCCAAGTGGCCATCGATGAACGCCCTCTCGTGGCGAGCCGCGGACACTCTGACGCAACCGATGACGACGTTTATGATCGCCACCAGTCCGTCACGCGACGCCCCTTTCAACGTACCAGGCACTTACGTCGTTTTATTGAGTTTTTCTAATTTTACGGGGTCAAGGAATAACTTTTCCTATATTATTAGAATTTCTATATATTCTTCGCTAAAATACGCGTTGTTTGCCGGTTGAAACATTAAAATCCTCCAATCCGTTCAGAAGTTATGACGTTTTAAAGTTTCAAGGTAGCCATTTCTGGCGTCACATTAGATTTTCTGTTTGGAATTTTTTTCTCGAAAATGCGTCGGATTTCGGGGATATGTGTAATGACCAAAAATGATTGCAATAGACCTCTGCAACTAACTATAATTTTTTTAGTATGATTTGACATTTTTTAATTTCGTTTAAAAATTTCGGTACCTACTCGAATTTTTTTCTCAAAAATGCGTAGGATTTCGGGGATATGTGTAATGACCAAAAATGCTTGTAATTGACCTCTGTAACTAAATATAATTTTTTTAGTATGATTTGAAATTTTTTTTTTCGTTGAAAAATTTAGGTACCTACCAACCCCCCGTCGATTTTTCTTACATTAGTATTTGATTTTTAGTAATTTTGATTGATGCCCTACGGAAAAATTGTCCAATACTTTTTTGTAGGCACTCATAAGCTCTACTCCAGAAAAAAGTTTCATTGAAATATATCTACTATTGCAGGGTGTTATGGCTGTTTGAAAATTAGACCATTTTTATGGGGTTTTTTTCTAATTTTAAAGGGTCAAGGAATAACTTTTCCAATATTGTTAGAATTTCTACATATTCTCCACTAAAATACGCGTTGTTTGCATTTTTAAAAAATAAAATCCTCCAATCCGTTCAAAAGTTATGACGTTTTAAAGATACGCATGAAATTTCAAAGGTAGCCATTTCTGACGTCACATTAGATTTTCTGTTTGGAATTTTTTTCTCGAAAATGCGTTGAAATTCGGGGATATGTGTAATGACCAAAAATGCTTGTAATTGACCTCTGCAACTAACTATAATTTTTTTAGTATGATTTGAAATTTTTTAATTTCGTTTAAAAATTTAGGTACCTACCAACCCCCCGTCGATTTTTCTTATATTAGTTTTTGATTTTTAGTAATTTTGATTGATGCCCTACGGAAAAATTGTCTAATACTTTTTTGTAGGCACTCATAAGCTCTACTCCAGAAAAAAGTTTCATTGAAATATATTTACTATTGCAGGGGTTATGGCTGTTTGAAAGTTAGACCATTTTTATGGGGTTTTTTTCTAATTTTAAAGGGTCAAGGAATAACTTTTCCAATATTGTTAGAATTTCTACATATTCTCCACTAAAATACGCGTTGTTTGCATTTTTAAAAATTAAAATCCTCCAATCCGTTCAAAAGTTATGACGTTTTAAAGATACGCATGAAATTTCAAAGGTAGCCATTTCTGACGTCACATTAGATTTTCTGTTTGGAATTTTTTTCTCGAAAATGCGTTGAAATTCGGGGATATGTGTAATGACCAAAAATGCTTGTAATTGACCTCTGCAACTAACTATAATTTTTTTAGTATGATTTGAAATTTTTTAATTTCGTTTAAAAATTTCAGTTCCTACCAACCCCCTGTCGATTTTTCTTATATTAGTTTTTGATTTTTAGTAATTTTGATTGATGCCCTACGGAAAAATTGTCTAATACTTTTTTGTAGGTACTCATGAGCTCTGCCTCAGAAAAAAGTTTCATTGAAATATATTTACTATTGCAGGGGTTATGGCTGTTTGAAAGTTAGACCATTTTTATGGGGTTTTTTTCTAATTTTAAAGGGTCAAGGAATAACTTTTCCAATATTGTTAGAATTTCTACATATTCTCCACTAAAATACGCGTTGTTTGCATTTTTAAAAATTAAAATCCTCCAATCCGTTCAAAAGTTATGACGTTTTAAAGATACGCATGAAATTTCAAAGGTAGCCATTTCTGACGTCACATTAGATTTTCTGTTTGGAATTTTTTTCTCGAAAATGCGTTGAAATTCGGGGATATGTGTAATGACCAAAAATGCTTGTAATTGACCTCTGCAACTAACTATAATTTTTTTAGTATGATTTGACATTTTTTAATTTCGTTTAAAAATTTCGGTACCTACTCGAATTTTTTTCTCAAAAATGCGTTGGAATTCGGGGATATGTATAATAACCAAAAATACTTGTAATTGACCTCTACTACTAAATATAATTTTTTTAGTATGATTTGAAATTTTTTAATTTCGTTCAAAAATTTCGGTACCTATTCGAATTTTTTTCTCGAAAATGCGTAGGATTTCGGGGATATGTGTAATGATCAAAAATGCTTGCAATAGACCTTTGCAACTAAATATAATTTTTTTAGAATGATTTGAAATTTTTGAATTTCGTTTAAAAATTTCAGACATTCTCGAATTTTTTTTCGAAAATGCGTAGGATTTCGGGGATATGTGTAATGACCAAAAATGCTTGTAATTGACCTCTGCAACTAAATATATTTTTTTTAGTACGATTTGACATTTTTTTTTCGTTGAAAAATTTCGATTTTTCTTATATTAGTTTTTGATTTTTAGTAATTTTGATTGATGCCCTACGGAAATTTTGTTCAATACTTTTTTGTAGGTACTCGTGAGCTCTATTTCAGAAAAAAGTTTTATCGAAATATATTCACTATGGTAGGAATTATGGCTGTCCGAAAATTGAACCATTTTTATGGGGTTTTTTCTAAATTTCTGTTTTAAAATTCACGTTCACAATTAATCGAAATTTCCACGCGTTGCAAGCTTCATTATTTTCTAAATTTCTGTTTTAAAATTCACGTTCACAATTAATCGAAATTTCCACGCGTTGCAATCCGCATGTTCGCGATTAGAAAGTTACAAAAACACTAATTTTGTAATCAGATACGCCACACAGGTTATACTTAATAGGCTCGTTCTTAATAGCTGAGCCTAAAAACATCTATCCGGTCTAAAAAAAAAAAGAAAAATTGAAAAGAAGCAACGGGTCTATTCGTGTAATGTATCTATTTTAGCCGCGACCATATGTTTAGACGGGACACTAAAATCTCTATCGAACAAGTCGTGAACGTTTCGCGAGCAGATTAGTTAACGTCAATCTAAAACAGGTGACTCGGATTTCCGTGGCTCGCGTGGGCGTTGTTCTCTTCGTCTCCGCGAGACGCGAATAAAATTTCGAATTGCAAATAGCCAGCGGGCGAATCTACTTTTATTACACGCGATCGAAGTCGTCTGGCTGCCAAAATAAACCCGTGTCCGCCACTTTGTTACCAGACTCGCGAAAAACTGCACTATTCTTCTCGTTCTGTCATCATACTGTGGCGTCGCCTCCCACGCTCGCCGCCAGATGGCTCCGCGCTCTCACAAGCGCTCTCACGACCCCTCCGTATATATGCTCCTCGAACGACTTCCCAATATCCCAGTCGTCTAAGACAGGGCCTGCTAGAAAGCCTAACTGACGAGTCCTGATTTAATTCGGACGATGGACAGAGCTGAGATCGTCCTTTTCAAAGGACTTGGACGTCGAGGCGATCCGACGAAGGAGTTGAACAAGCCGGTTTTTTGTAATTTGAATTTTAACGATCGCAATAAATCACTCGCTTAATAACACGACTATTTAATTTAACAATAAACTAATTGAACAACACTAATTTACAACAGTGTGTACTTAATGTACAAAAGCACTAATTTACAACGGCGTGTACTTAATGTACAAAGCAACGAGAGCCACGGATGGTATTGTGTCGACGAAAAAACCTTCTATGAAGCTCTTATTTTATTAATTTTATTAATAAATATACGAATTTGCATAAAAATCCGCAGACTAGTAATATCAAACGAATTGATCATTTAGTTTTGTCATTTATTGTTTCGAGGCGTCTAGTGATTTTAAGTTCGAAATATTCTAGGAATTTTATTAGGTTGAGCTGAGAGTTTGGTTCAATTTTTAGTTGGAATTAATCATTTAGTTTTGTCATTTGTTTTGTCATTTTGGGGATTTTATTGGGTTGAGCTGAGTCTAGTGATTTTAAGTTCGAAATATTTTAGGGATTTTATTGAGTTGAGATGAGTTGGGTTCAATTTTTAGTTGGAACTAATCATTTAGTTTTGTCATTTGATTTGTCATTTTGGGGATTTTATTGGGTTGAGCTGAGTCTAGTGATTTTAAGTTCGAAATATTCTAGGGATTTTATTGGGTTGAGCCGAGTTTGGTTCAATTTTCATTTGAAATTGATCATTTAGTTTTGTCATTTATCGTTTCGAGGCGTCTAGTGATTTCAAGTTCGAAATATTTTAGGGATTTTATTGGGTTGAGTCTAGTGATTTTAAGTTCGAAATATTTTAGGGATTTTATTGAGTTGAGATGAGTTTGGTTCAATTTTTAGTTGGAACTAATCATTTAGTTTTGTCATTTGTTTTGTCATTCTAGGGACTTTATTGAGCTGAGCGGAGTCTAGTGATTTTAAGTTCGAAATATTCTAGGGATTTTATTGGGTTGAGCTGAAAGTTTGGTTCAATTTTCATTTGAAATTGATCATCTAGTTTTGTCATTTATTGTTTCGAGGCGTCTAGTGATTTTAAGTTCGAAATATTCTAGGGATTTTTTAGTTGAGCTGAGAGTTTGGTTCAATTTTTAGTTGGAAAACGAGTTGTTACTAGAAGTTTGAATCCTTCTACTCACCTCGTCGGTCTTTGCAGCAACGGTGGGTTCGATTAGGCTAGTGAAGCTCGTCCTGCTGCCATGTCTGCTGCTCCTCGACAGGCAACCGACGTCGGCGACCTCGCCAGCGGCGATTCTAGCAATCCTATCGTTCTCCAAACACTGTGAGAGAGGTATGCCAAATACCAGGCCACCCGACGTATCTGAAACACACAGAACAAAAGAATTCCTTGGGGATGTTTCGCTTTCAGAATACTTCTTACTTCATTATACAAAAATATACGCTCGAAAGCGAAAATAAACCGAAAGTTTGCACCAGAACCGCCGTAACGCTGTCTCGAGAATCTTACGAACGCAAAATATGCTACTCAGAGCGTCGATTTTCAGAACGAAGAGAGAAATCTTGTTGAACGAAGTTAACGCACAGTAATCGATAACAATTTTCTACAAATTAAATTTTAAAATGAGTGTTACTAATTTTGCATTAAATATTGTGGTTGAAACATTCATGTATCACTCTTATGGAAAGAAATCTACCCTTAATCACAGATAAAAATATTTTATATATTCAAGGAACAAAAAAATGACAATCTTTCATTGACATTATGAATTCAAAGGCCTATTTAACAATACTCTGTATCTCATTTGCTTATAATTAGAAATTCCTGACTATAATCTCTAAGTTTAAGCAAACTAGACACGAAATTTCAATGACAACGGGCGAATTTAGATATACCGACCACTCACACCTATGCTTTAAGAAAAAATTATTCTAAAAACTTGCAGACTACTTTTTTCGTAGAGAACACCTCGAAACACTCAAATTTTGAGTGACCAATAGGAATATAAATTCGTTTCAACGAATCACTCAAAATTCGCTGATAATTCGTTCCTAAACATAGCAAACGAAGATTCCTCACGAGGAACAGTGCAACTCTGGATGACCATAGAGAAATAAATCTTAAAAAACTTGGTAAGATTCTCAGGATTCGAGATCTCAACTGATTACGCGTTAGTTTATCGCGATTACATCCTGTAACAATTATTCTCGAGTTTCTGCGTCGTTTTGGAGAATTGTAGCCACCTCAAGAGAAAAAACGGTTGTCCATGTGGAAAGTACCAGGCTGAGGGAACAGCATCGGCCAGCCTGGTATGAGACACAATTTCGCCGGTTAAAATTAGCCACGGGGTGCTTGGTGGCGGTGCATATTTCCGCATATACCAGGTTTATTTGTGGTTCGTGCCTGGTACAAGTGGACGTCGATCGGGATCCGGATTAGCTCCGCCATGGGGTCGAAACTGACCCCTTCTAGCGACCCTCGAACACGTTTTCCAGACAACTCTTCCGTTCCAACTCGACTATCCAGGCAAACTTTCTAATATTTCGTTAAAAAATTGTCCATATCCATCTCAGAGTGTCTAAAAATCCCTCCTGGATTCTCATTTCTTCATTCTGAAGACCGATTCTTCCCTGAAATCGTAAATATGTGACCAAACGATCGTCCTGACATATATATCCGCGACAATGCAATTCTCTCGCGAGAAAGCGCTCGAGAAGCTTCGCCACCTGGCGGTGACATCGCGGTACTGCTACCGGCGAGGTATCGCGCGGGCCGAATACGCGTATGCGCGCGCAAGTAGTCTGTCGTATACAGGGGTCGCGTGGTCCGCCAAACGGTCGTACACATGAAATCTTTGCACATAAATTACACGTTAATAACGCGCTTCTGAGACATGCTACATAGTCGATGTCCGTCCTAGAGTATGCAGGAATAACGTGTCAAAATTTGAGGAAGATCGGTTCAATAGGTCTTGAGTTTTGCGCGAACATAAAAATCGGCTCTCTCTTTATATAATAGTATAGATATAGTTGCATATTGAGCGTATTAAGTAGTTTCTTGAAAATTAAAATTTCCCATTTCTTATACAGGGAGGATAAAAAAATTTTAACGGGAGATTCTAGAGGCCAAAACAAGACGAAAATGAAGAATATTAATTTCTTGATTGAGGCTTCGTTAAAAAGTTATGGAAATATTTCCGGACACAGAATATATTTTCGGTAAAGAATTTTTTTCTCGAAAGTGCGTAGGATTTCGGCGGAGTATCTATTCACAAAAAATGATTGCAATCTCCCCCCACAGCTAAAAATAATTTTTTCAAAACGATTCGAAAATTTTTGTTTCGCTGAAAAATTTCGACACCTACCCTACATGTTTTTCATTTTTAGTCATTTTGTTTGACGCTCTAGAGAAAAGTTGTCTAATACTTTTTTGTAGGCATCCGTGAGCTCTATAGCAGAAAAAAGTTTCATTGAAACGTATTCACTATTGTAGGAGTTATGGCTGTTTGAAAATTGGACCATTTTTATGGGGGGTTTCTCATTTTACGGTGTCAAGGATCAACTTTTTGAATATTTTTGGAATTTCTACATATTCTTCACTAAATTACGCGTTATTTGGCTTTTGAAACATTAAAATCTTTCAATCCGTTCAGAAGTTATGACGTTTTAAAGATTCACATGAAATTATTGAAGTGACATTCGCAAGGAATTTTTTTCTCGAAAATGGTAGGAATTTCGGGGGTATGTCTGTTCACCAAAAATAATTATAATTGAACCTCGTAACTGGAAATAATTTTTTCAGAACGATTTGAAATTTTTTTTTACGAAAAATTTAAGCACCTACTTCTTGTCGATTTTTCCCACAAATTAGTTTTTCATTTTTAATAAATTTGTTTGACGCTGTATGGAAATATTGTCTAATGCTTTTTTGTAAGTACCCATGAGCTCTATGTCAGAAAAAAGTTTCATCGAAATATATTTACTATTGTAAGAATTATGATTGTCTGAAAGTTGGACCATTTTTATGGAGTTTTTCTCATTTTGCGGGGTCAAGGATCAACTTTTCGAATATTTTTGCAATTTCTACATATTCCTCATCTAAATACGCGTTGTTTACCGTTTTAAACATTAAAATCGTCCAATCCGTTCCGGAGTTATGACATTTTGAAGATTCGCATGAAATTTCAGGGGAGCCTCGCATTAGATTTTCGGTAAAGAATTTTTTTCCCAAAAGTGCGTAGGATTTCGGGGGTATATCTATGCACCAAAAATTCTTGTAATTGACCCTTGTAACTAAAAATAATTTTTTTAGAATGATTTGAAATTTTTTAATTTCGTTTAAAAATTTCAGTTCCTACTCGAATTTTTTTCTCGAAAATGCGTAGGATTTCGGGGATATGTGTAATGACTAAAAATGCTTGTAATTGACCTCTGCAACTGAATATAATTTTTTTAGTATGATTTGTCATTTTTTTTTCGTTGAAAAATTTAGGTACCTACCAACTCCCCGTCGATTTTTCTTATATTAGTTTTTGATTTTTAGTAATTTTGATTGATGCCCTACGGAAACATTGTCTAATACTTTTTAGTAGGCATCCGTGAGCTCTATAGCAGAAAAAAGTTTCATTGAAACGTATTCACTATTGTAGGAGTTATGGCTGTTTGAAAATTTGACCATTTTTATGGGTGTTTTCTCATTTTACGGTGTCAAGGATCAACTTTTCGAATATTTTTGCAATTTCTACATATTCCTCATCTAAATACGCGTCGTTTGCATTTTGAAAAATTAAAATCGTCCAATCCGTTCAGGAGTTATGACATTTTGAAGATTCGCAAGAAATTTCAGGGAAGCCTTGCATTAGATTTTCGGTAAAGAATTTTTTTCCCAAAAGTGCGTAGGATTTCGGGGGTATATCTATGCACAAAAAATTCTTTTAATTGACCCTTGTAACTAAAAATAATTTTTTTAGAATGATTTGAAGTTTTTTAATTTTGCCGAAAAATTTCATACCTTCTCGAATTTTTTTCTGCAAAGTGAGTAGGATTTCGGGGGCATGTCTATTCACCAAAAGTAATTGTAATCAACCCTCGTAATTGAAAATAATTTTTTTAGAATGATTTGAAATTTTTTAATTTTGTCGAAAAATTTCATACCTTCTCGAATTTTTTTCTGCAAAGTGAGTAGGATTTCGGGGGTATGTCTATTCACCAGAAGTAATTGAACTTAGTAAACTGAGTAAACTTGATTCTCAGTTCTTCGTTCTGAAGACCGATTCTTCCTTGAAATCGTAAATATGTGGCCACACGCGACCCTCGAACACGTTTTCCATGCAGCTCATTGCAAAAGCAATTTATGACCAGACGATCGTCCTGACATATATACCCGCGATGATGCAATTCTCTCGCGAGAAAGCGCTCGAGAAGCTTCGCCACCTGGCGGTGACATCGCAGTACTGCTACGGGCGAGGTATCGCACGGGCCGTTAACGCGTATGCGCGCGCAAGTAGACTGTCGTATACAGGGGTCGCGTGGTCCGCCAAACGGTCGTGCACATGAAATCTTTGCACATAAATTACATGTTAATAACGCCCTTCTGAGACATGCTACATAGCCCATGTCCGTCCTAGAGTATGCAGGAACAACGTGTCAAAATTTGAGGAAGATCGGTTGAATAGGTCTCTTTATATAATAGTATAGATGTATTATTATGTATTAAAATCGTTGAAAGTGTTCGATTTACGTAATTATCGACTATAACAATATCAAGATTTGTCCCAACCATAATATTTGGCTTTCCTGCAGCTCGACTAGATCGAGATACACACACGCGGCGATGTCGTAAACGTATAAAATGATAGAGCTTCGGCAAACAGAATCTCACCTGAAAATAGCTGGGCTAGTTATTCTCCAAACAAATAATCCTCCCATAAATCCTACGATCGTTAACTCGCGCCGCTTTCCACACATTAAACCGCGCACTTAATTCACCGCGTTCAATTATTTATTCGATCGAGTGAATTTCTATTGCAGCGGGAGTGTGTTCAGCGGAGAGAATTGATTCAACGTTCGATTACGCGAGATTTATTTTTTCAAATTCAACTTTAAAAAATACTTTTCATCGACGCCTGCGCAGAAATTCAACCGTTCAACCGTGAGAATTCACCTAGAGTTTTAAAATAAAAGCCTGCGTCACATTCTTCATGGCTTGGAAGCATCAATATTTACATTTTAACTTTTAATTATTTTTGTTGTCCGTGACGCAACCAACAATGTTACGGGAAGATATATCAAGAGAAACTTTGTCAGATTTATGTGAAATTCTGTTTTAATTTAATTTTTATATATATTTCGATCCACTGGTAAGACTAAGTTACGAGTAAAGATGATGTTATTGTGTGTCTTTTAAATTAGAATATTATAATGGAATTATTGAACAGTCTAGATTGGTGATAAAGTGCTATGTAACAGAGATTATGACAATCACGATCGTCATTTGCTGTCCATGAGCCTGACTGGCGTTTAGGCCAAAATCTTCATCAAGAGTCAGGCTAGTTAAATCTTTGGGGCACTCTGGGATTAAAAGTGTCCCATTTCTTTGATGCAATAGAAATATTGCAATGGCTGCATGAGCATAGGTTTATATTTCGTCTTATTCACGTAAAGCAGTTGGTAATGGCTTCAACAAATGTTACAAATATGTATTCACTTGTGTTGGCAACATTCAACATGCAAAAGAAAAGGTTCATCAATTGTTACAGGAAGGTTCACTGAACCCAATCTGTTTTTATGTTTTTTATGTTTTTCTATGTTTTTATATTATGTGATGTCTTTGTTAATAAAAGTATAGCAATTTCTGTGCTAGATGGGGGTCTATTTTATGATCTGAAAGTCGATTCTCGATTGCCTACTCTTAATTAGATTATTAACGAGAAAATTACACGGAACGAAGCCTTAACACTCAATTAACAGGCATTCACATATCCCACTTACCCTTTTCCTTATCGTCCTTCCCTTTGTTGTCGAAGAAGCCTGTCGTGAGAGCTTTCCTCTTCAACAAAGGTGCTCTCCTCTTGGGCTTCGTGGCAACCGCGCTGCTGCTCAGAGACTCTGGAAACGGGTAAGAAAATATGAAATACTATCATGCCCCGTCTAGGCTTCGCCCGACCTTATGCAAAATCAATTTATCACCAGACGATCGTCCTGACATATATGTTAGCGGCAATGCATTTTCCAAGAGAATCGAAAGTAAGGACCACCGAAGGACACTCAGTCTACGATAGATTTATGACAGAGTTTCGGGGTGCATGTGGCCTAAAGAGCGAATGAGACTAAACGGGCCTGGCGTCGGGCGACGCGATAGCGGACAACCGCGTTGGGTCTCCAGCTAGCGCGTGTCAAGGCATTGATTGTTCAGGGATAGAGAGAGAGTAGTTAAAAGAGGCAGACGACCTGACGTCGTACTGCTAGAAAAATAAAGACTTTGTCCTGAAGGATCTGGCCACGGAGTGGGGAAGGCGTGGGACCTTCCGGTAAGAGCACTGTGAGGAACGGCAGGGGACTTACCCCAGAACCGTCAAGTGTAAAACTTCTTACATATATAACCGCAATAATGCAATTCTCTCGCGAGAAAGCGCTCGAGAAGCTTCGCAACCTGGCGGTAACATCGCAGTACTGCTACGGGCGAGGTAAAATTGATTTTCTTTAACATTTCAACTTGAGAATTCATTGTTTTAGTTCCACTGTTAAAAGTTCTGTCACCCATATATATATAAAAGAATAAAATAACCCAGACCTAACCAAGACTTAATTCAGACTTAATTCAGACCTAACCCAGACCTAACCCAGACTTAATTCAGACTTATTCCAGACCTAACCCAGACCAATTCATCGCTGATAACGGGGGTTAGGTCTGGGTTAGGTTTGGGTTAGGTCTGGGTTAGGTCTGAATTAAGTCTGGGTTAGGTCTGGGTTAGGTCTGAATTAAGTCTGGGTTAGGTCTGGGTTAGGTCTGAATTAAGTCTGGGTTAGGTCTGGGTTAGGTCTGAATTAAGTCTGGGTTAGGTCTGGGTTAGGTCTGAATGAAGTCTGGGTTAGGTCTGGGTTAGGTCTGGGTTAGGTCTGGGTTAGGTCTGAATTAAGTCTGGGTTAGGTCTGGGTTAGGTCTGAATTAAGTCTGGGTTAGGTCTGGGTTAGGTCTGGGTTAGGTCTGAATTAAGTCTGGGTTAGGTCTGGGTTAGGTCTGAATTAAGTCTGGGTTAGGTCTGGGTTAGGTCTGAATTAAGTCTGGGTTAGGTCTGGGTTAGGTCTGGAATAAGTCTGAATTAAGTCTGGGTTAGGTCTGGATTAGGTCTTAATTTACTCTTAAAAAGACGTGTTTGCTAATTAGAAAATCTAATTTTTCTTCCACACCTAACCCAGACCTAACTCAGACCTAACCCAGACTTAATTCAGACCTAACCCAGACCTAACCCAGACTTAATTCAGATCTAACCCAGACCTAACCCAGCCCTAACCCAGACTTAATTCAGACCTAACCCAGACCTAACCCAGACTTAATTCAGACCTAACCCAGACCTAACCCAGACTTAATTCAGATCTAACCCAGACCTAACCCAGACCTAACCCAGACTTAATTCAGACCTAACCCAGACCTAACCCAGACTTAATTCAGACCTAACCCAGACCTAACCCAGACTTAATTCAGACCTAACCCAGACCTAACCCAGACTTAATTCAGATCTAACCCAGACCTAACCTAGACCTAACCCAGACTTATTCCAGACCTAACCCAGACCTAACCCAGACTTATTCCAGACCTAACCCAGACCTAACCCAGACTTAATTCAGACTTATTCCAGACCTAACCCAGACCTTTTCTTTTCGACGATTAATCGACGATTAAGTAAATCGACGTTAAATTTCCATAGCTTCTCGAATAGATTAATATAGGTTTTGAAATTAAATTTAGTATCACATCCTCATATTGGCGGATATTTTGCTTGCATTTCCGCATAACCTTTCGAAAATTTTCGCCCGGTATGCTATTCTACGGAAATATATTTGCAAACGACGCAAATATTTCGCTAAATCGGAAGAAATTAACGAGAGAATGATAACGACACGTGTCCACGTAAAATAATGTGAAAAGTCTCGTTTACGTGGTAGAGGGAAATTTTAAAACGTTATTCAATATTTAGATAGATCAATATTACTCAGAACAATTTAGATAATCCTGTTGAACCATCTTAATCGACAATGATACAATCTGATCAATGTATCACGATTATTACCCTTTTAGTTACGTTTGCGTCGATAAACGGAAAATAAACAAATTAAGAAAATGTAGGAAAGTTAATCTTTACAATTACTGTACAATTATTCACCCATAACTAGACTTTGCGTAGAATTGAATGTTACCAGAGTCATTATTGAAAAAACTGGAACGTTCGATTGTTCGAGTGGACCTGAAAGAAAGAAATACGTCACTACGTATCGTTCTAGAAAAAAAAGAGGAGCACAAAACTATCGAATTACGTTTTCCCAATAACAAGCTTTGAGATCGAACAACGACGAATACTAGGCTTCGCCATAATTTGTCAATATTAAAGCAAACATATATAACTACTAGCATGCCCCATTTCGGCTTCGCCGGACCTTATGCAAAATCAATTTATGACCAGACGATCGTCCTGACATATATAACCGCGATAATGCAATTCTCTCGCGAGAAGGCGCTCGAAAAGCTACGCCACCTGGCGGTGACATCGCAGTACTGCTACGGGCGAGGTATCGCGCGGGCCGTTAACGCGTATGCGCGCGCAAGTAGACTGTCGTATACAGGGGTCGCGTGGTCCGCCAAACAGTCGTGCACATGAAATCTTTGCACATAAATTACATGTTAATAACGCGCTTCTGAGTCATGCTACATAGCCTATGTCCGTCCTAGAGTATGCAGGAATAACGTGTCAAAATTTGAGGAAAATCGGTTCAATAGGTCTTGAGTTTTAGCTTTTTATATAATATAATATGAAATATTCTCCGTTCACGGGCCAAAGTCTTCGTTGAATCTTGCTGGTGGCGTTCATCGTTCGCGAAATCAACGTTTGATGCGTTTGGTTCGTTCGATTCGAAACACGTTTCGAATAAGGAGGCTTCGTGATGTCTCTATTGTGGTCTCGTTGATTCACTTCCGCTTGGACACGGAAGTGGAACAAAGAAACGCGGAACGTGCGCGGGAAAAGTGGAAACGCGATCTCTTCTTGATTGTCGTGCAACGTCAACGACCGCGGTGCACCGCAGAAAAGTTTTACGCGCGAGATTGCGAAATCTGCGAGCCTGGAACGTTCGATATACGCGTTTTGCGAGATTCTGAATCGATGGTGATGCATCGATATGTATCGATAACTCGACGTTATCGATTCTTTATGGGAAACATAGATCGCCATAAATTTGTTAGTTTCAAATTGAAAATAGAGGGACACTGTGACGTGTTTTTGTATATTTTGGAAACATTTTATTTCGATTCTCTTCAAAAATGATATTGAAAATCAATTTAGTTAAAAAAAAAACGATGAAGGATGTATAATATTGTAGAAATCATTATACAAGATTTTAGAATTTTTGTATACAGGGTGTTCGGCTATTCTAGAGCCTAAAATAAGACGAAAATCAAGAATATCAATTTGTTGATTTAGGTTTCCCTAAAAAGTTATTAAACAATTTTTAATCGTTCTGGAAAAATTATTTTCGATTGCAGGGGTCAATTATAATCATTTTTGGTCAATAGGCATATCCTTGAAATCCTAACCATTTTCGAGAAAAAAATTCCACAAGGAATGTCACTTCAATAATTTCATGCGAATCTTTAAAAAATCATAACTTCTGAACGGATTGGAAGATTTTAATGTTTCAAACGGCAAACAACGCGTAATTTAGTGGAGAATATGTAGAAATTCTAACAATATTGAAAATGTTGTTCCTTGACACCGTAAATTGAGAAAAACCCCCCTAAAACTGATCTAATTTTTTAAACGGCCATAACTCCTACAATAGTAAAGGTATCTCATTGAAACTTTTTTCTAAAGCAGAGCCCATGAATATCTACAAAAAAGTACTAGACAACTTTTCTGTAGAGCGTCAAACAAATTTATTAAAAATGAAAAACGAATTCTTAAGAAAAATCGACAGGGTGATTTTTCGGTGAAATTCAAAAATTTTAAATCACTCTGGAAAAATTATTTTCGGTTACAGAAGTCAATTATAATCGTTTTTGGTCATTAGACATGCCCTTGAAATCCTAACTACTTTCGAGAAAAAAATTCGAGAATGTATGAAATTTTTCGACAAAATTCAAAAATTTCAAATCGTATTAAAAAAAATATATTTAGTTACAGGGGCCAATTACGAGCATTTTTGGTGAATAGGCATACCCTCGAAATCCTAACCATTTTCGAGAAAAAAATTCATTACTGAAAATATAATGTCTGACCATAACTGTCTGCTACCCTGACAATTAAAAAGTTTCAAATCATTCTGAAAAAATTATTTTCGGCTGTGGGGGTCAATTTCAACCATTTTTGGTGAATACACATACCCTCAAAATCCTACGCACTTTCGAGAAAAAAATTCTTTTGCGAAAATATACTGGAAATGTTACTATAACTTTTTAACGAAGCCTCAATCAACAAATTAGTATACTTCATTTTCGCATTATTTTGGCCTCTAGAATCTCCCATTAAAATTTTTTTCAATTATTCGAAACATTTTATTTTCTCTCCAGAAACGATATTAAAAATCAATTTAAAAAGGAAAAAATTATCTTGGATGTTATAACACATATCTTGGGGAAAAGAAGAATATAATAACGTCAATTCTTCCGATATAGAAGTCCCAATACTATAATAAATATCGTGACTGTCTAATAAACCCTAATAAACACCTTCGTTTGGCGCTACGACTTTACGACCACGATGAATATTTCATATCCCCGAGTCCATTACACGATATCTCCCCTTGAATTCGTGAAAGAGGGTAATAAGATCCTCCTAATGATCCCTAAAAGCTTCGTTCGTGGTGTATACCGAATGCCACGAAAACAAGATTCTTTGGGAAAGAGGATACTCCAACGTTGGAGGTACAGGGCAAAGCAAATGGATCCTCGCGCTCATAAACATGTCAATCATACGGGAAACAGCCAAGCTGAGATTTCACCCTCCACGTTCTGAATGAGATACTGATTTCCTCGATGAATTCCCAAAGAACCGACCTTCACAATTCGTGGGGTCCCTCTGGGCAACTTTTATCATTACGTGGCGCCATCTAGACGCGGAGGAATTATTCTCGTCTAAGAATATTTAAATTCAAAACATTCGTAAATCTCGAATTGTGTGAAACGGGGTTAAAAATAAGATTTGAATAGAAATTAACAATTCACTCGACCTTTCACCTCGATGTGTAATCTTATATAATAATAATCTAATATAATTATAGGGCAATTTAAGCAAATTCTTAATATATAATATCTAACATAATAATAATCTGATATAATAAAAAATATAATAGTAATCTGATATAATATGAAATAGCTGTTTCATTTGCATTGTTGTTGCAATTTGTAATTTTTAAGTGTATGTGAAGGGTGTTTTGCTCGTCCCACCGCAGCGCCATCTTAGTATGCGCCATGTAGTCGTTCTTAAGCGTATGCCTATCGAGTTTGCATTTTATATTATTATTATATATCTTTACTAGCATGCCCTGACATATATATCCGCGATAACGCAATTCTCTCGCGAGAAAGCGCTCGAGAAGCTACGCCACCTGGCGGTGACATCGCAGTACTGCTACGGGGCGAGGTATCGCGCGGGCCGTTACGCGTATGCGCGCGCATGTAGACTGCCGTATACAGGGGTCGCGTAGTCCGCCAAACAGTCGTACACATGAAATCTTTGCACATAAATTACATGTTAATAACGCGCTTCTGAGACATGCTACATAACCTATGTCCGTCCTAGAGTATGCAGGAATAACGTGTCAAAATTTGAGGAAGATCGGTTCAATAGGTCTTGAGTTTTGCGCGAACATAAAAATCGGCTCTCTCTTTATATAATAGTATAGATATAGTTGCATATTGAGCGTATTATGTAGTTTCTTGAAAATTAAAATTTCCCATTTCTTATACAGGGAGGATAAAAAAATTTTAACGGGAGATTCTGGAGGCCAAAACAAGACGAAAATGAAGAATATCAATTTCTTGATTGAGGCTTCGTTGAAAAGTTATGGAAATATTTCCGGACACAGAATATATTTTCGGTAAAGAATTTTTTTCTCGAAAGTGCGTAGGATTTCGGCGGAGTATCTATTCACAAAAAATGATTGTAATCTCCCCCCCACAGCTAAAAATAATTTTTTCAAAACGATTCGAAAATTTTTGTTTCGCTGAAAAATTTCGACACCTACCCTATATGTTTTTCATTTTTAGTAATTTTGTTTGACGCTCTGGAGAAAAGTTGTCTAATACTTTTTTGTAGGCATCCGTGAGCTCTATAGCAGAAAAAAGTTTCATTGAAACGTATTCACTATTGTAGGAGTTATGGCTGTTTGAAAATTGGACCATTTTTATGGGGGTTTTCTCATTTTTCGGTGTCAAGGAATAACTTTTCGAATATTTATGGAATTTCTACATACTCTCCACCAAAATACGCGTCGTTTGCATTTTGAAAAATTAAAATCGTCCAATCCGTTCGGAAGTTATGACATTTTGAAGATTCGCATGAAATTTCAGGGAAGCCTCGCATTAGATTTTCGGTAAAGAATAGTATAGATTATGTGTCTGTATTACGTGTGATAACTACAGTATGATATGTCTCTAGTTCGATATAGGGGTGCAAAAGGTTAATGAAATACATATGAAGATCGAGAGGATCGACGAATGTGCTTTTTTCTTTTTTTTTTGAATTATCAAAGGACTTACCACTGGGTGGCCTGATATGAACTCCTAAATTGAGGGCCTGGAGTTTGGCGACAGCCACCTTGCAAAGGACCCTCCTCTCGACTTCTGACAGCGATCTCAATGGAGTGTCCTGCAGAGTGACTCGTCGTCCTGCAGTCCCCGCCCACATGCACTTTCCCTGGAAAAGAAAAGTTTACAAGCTCTGAAAAATCCTCCTCGACTGCTACAATATAAAGACTTATATCAGGTTTAAGCATAAAAAAAAAAAGTTCAGATTTCAGTGGCACGTTTGGCCATAATTGACAAGATTATTTTAAATGAAGAGTTTTTTAGAAGATTGGTATTCCTAATCGTGAGATACTAACTTTCATAAGGTGTCTATTCTATACATCGTATGTGATACAATGTTGTTTCGATTGTAACCACTGATATGCAAGCATTAGTGACCATCGTTGACCACTACTGACCACTAGTGACCTCTACTGGCCACCGTTGACCACTACTGACCACTACTGACCTCTACTGGCCACTTATGAGCACTTATGGCCATTTCTGACCGCAACTGGCCACTGTTGATCACTTATGACCATTTCTGACTTATTTTTTAGCAAAAGTTGACCATTTTTCTGAAGAATTGAGTTACTAGTGACCTCTACTGGCCAGTATTCAAATTCTGTGTGATACTAACTTCCATAAGGTGTTTATTGTTTACATCGTATGTGATACAATGTTGTTTTTGATGACGCTGGTGTTTGAAACATTCGATGTCTTTAAAGGCAATAAAACGAGGATCCAAAAATACTGGTATTTTATCGCGTTCGAGGAGTGTCTTGGAAAATTCGCCCGTGTCTGATGTAATGAATTGGCTCCCCGTCAATTTCTAGTTCGAATATTATCGCCTACAACCGATGTCTGCTAATTTACGACCGCCGCTTTCACGGTTGCAGGAACAACGCGCAGAAATCGCGTGAATTATCGCTGTCGGTTCCTGGGACTCGGTGTATTTGAAGAACAGCGGAGGTCCGGTTTATCTCTCTTTATGGCGGCAATTACGAAAGACAATAAAGTTCGAGCTTAACGCGTACAGGCTACGAAACATTTCCAAATTAATGTGAACGATGTATCACTTTCGCGATTGCTTAATCCGTGGACAAAAAGAAAATACGCTTTCTAGAATTACTAAAAAAAATAAAAAAAATGAGGTGATAAACGAGTAGAGACAAATGGACGACGTCACAACGCGTGAGACAAAATGGCGGTTCGAGCCATACGATTCCTGAGGTAATCATTGTCAACACTTTTATCTAAGATTTTTTTCTTCAAAGAAGTTAGAGACTGTTTTTATTTCTATCAAAATTATCGATATTTTTAAATTTTGCATGGACGAAATATTTAAACTTTTACTGCGAATAAAAATAACGAAACTTTGGTATTTTACTTTGGTGACATGTTTCCGATTATTTGTTACTTATAAACTACCTTTGTTTATTTTATATAAACATTGCAAATATCTTGGATGATCTTGAATCGTGTTATGATTGACCCGGAATAAAACGGACCTAACCCCCGTTATCAGCGATGAATTGGTCTGGGTTAGGTCTGGAATAAGTCTGAATTAAGTCTGGGTTAGGTCTGGGTTAGGTCTGAATTAAGTCTGGGTTAGGTCTGGAATAAGTTTGAATTAAGTCTGGGTTAGGTCTGGGTTAGGTCTGAATTAAGTCTGAGTTAGGTCTGGGTTAGGTCTGACGTAAGTCTGGGTTAGGTCTGGGTTAGGTCTGAATTAAGTCTGGGTTAGGTCTGAATTAAGTCTGGGTTAGGTCTGGGTTAGGTCTGAATTAAGTCTGGGTTAGGTCTGGGTTAGGTCTGAATTAAGTCTGGGTTAGGTCTGGGTTAGGTCTGAATTAAGTCTGGGTTAGGTCTGGGTTAGGTCTGAATTAAGTCTGGGTTAGGTCTGAATTAAGTCTGGGTTAGGTCTGGGTTAGGTCTGAATTAAGTCTGGGTTAGGTCTGGGTTAGGTCTGAATTAAGTCTGGGTTAGGTCTGGGTTAGGTCTGAATTAAGTCTGGGTTAGGTCTGGGTTAGGTCTGGGTTAGTTCTGAATTAAGTCTGGGTTAGGTCTGGGTTAGGTCTGGAAGAAAAATTAGATTTTCTAATTAGCAAACTCGTCTTTTTAAGAGTAAATTAAGACCTAACCCAGACCTAACCCAGACTTAATTCAGACCTAACCCAGACCTAACCCAGACTTAATTCAGACCTAACCCAGACCTAACCCAGACTTAATTCAGACTTATTCCAGACCTAACCCAGACTTATTCCAGACCTAACCCAGACCTAACCCAGACTTATTCCAGACCTAACCCAGACTTAATTCAGACCTAACCCAGACCTAACCCAGACTTATTCCAGACCTAACCCAGACCTAACCCAGACTTACTCCAGACCTAACCCAGACCTAACCCAGACTTAATTCAGACCTAACCCAGACCTAACCCAGACTTATTCCAGACCTAACCCAGACCTAACCCAGACTTAATTCAGAACTAACCCAGACCTAACCCAGACTTAATTCAGACCTAACCCAGACCTAACCCAGACTTAATTCAGACTTATTCCAGACCTAACCCAGACCAATTCATCGCTGATAACGGGGGTTAGGTCTGGGTTAGGTCTGGAATAAGTCTGAATTAAGTCTGGGTTAGGTCTGGGTTAGATCCTTTCAGAAAGAGAGGCGAAAAAGTTACGTCACCCTTGTGACGTTTTATAGCGACTGAATTACGGGGAAGAAAATATAAATCTCCAACATGTTCAACACTCACCATTAGTGCATGGTGGATGTCAACATTTACCGGTGTAAGTCAGAAATAAGGGTGTTTAGCAAATATTTCGGACATACACTAAGCGACTATGTGAATGTTGACATTCACCGGTGAAAGTCGACATTCTCCAGATTTCGGTGTTTCACTGTAACATATACATTTATATTTGTTTCTAGAATGGGCCATGTAGCCACACGCGTTCACTCATCGACCAAAATTGCCTTTGTTCTCGGGCCATGCTTCTGGCCCCGGCGAACCGACTCGCCCCCGAAGGCTCCCGAGCCTACCCGAATCGCGAAGACGTGCAGTTGCACAGCGCTCCCTTGTTCCAACAATGCCAAAAACAAGAAACAGACTCATCGATGCGTAATCACTACTCCGTAGATCCGATCTTCTTGGATCCACGGGAGCAGACGGAGTTCGTTTGTCGCCAGATTTCCTTACACAGACCCGCGTAATTTATTTATCGATCCACTTAATAATCGCGACACGTGGGCAGCAGAAGAATGGAGTGGCTCACGCACGTTTCCCTCGAAAGGATTCGCTGCCAAAACGCAGCAGCGACGATCCATCAAACGCCCGTGTCCGTTACTCTCGCGTCGTCGAGCGCGAAATGACGCGACATCATCGGTTGTCCTGGCCCCGTGTAAATAAATATACACGCCGGGTGGATCGTGGGCGTACGAAATCACGCGGATTTAGATCGGCGAAATAAATCTCCGCGAGGACGTGGGACGGTAAACTTTGACTGAACGATCTTGACGAGGATCTCGGGCGCAAGTGGATCAAGGAGATCCGTCGATGATCGTCGGACTCGATGAAACTCGAGATTGTTAAAGATGATTTTTATCAATTTTAATAAATTCAATTGCATTTTTAACATTACACGAACGAAAAATTTTAGGTTATATTCAAGATCGAAAAGGACATAATAAATCTTTATTTATAGGTTAAATACAACCAATTATAGATGCTGTAAAATTATTATTTAACCCCTCAACGCTCATATTTTACGGGTCAACCAACAATGATCAGTTTTCTTTGTTGGATTTGTTTCTAAAAATACGGTTTTTGTTAATTATAATGCAATACAGTCTACACCCAAAAGAGCAGCACCTCTATCTAATGCTTGTCTTCGGAAAACACCACAAAATCTGCAATTGTTCTTTTTACCTATTTCTGCCACAATTTTATCCATAGTCCATCCATACAATTCTTTATAAGATAATCTTTTCTATCGTCAGCATTATGACCAGTTGCAATACAGTCTACACCCAAAAGAGCTGTTAATTATAATGTTGTATCTAATAATTTGAAGGAAACCAAATATTTTCATCCCTCAAACCGTTGGATTAAACAAATATTGTTTTTCAAAGCAGTCAGACTCGGGCATGAACGTTAAGGGGTTAATACATAGGTGGAATCACAGATCGCGTTGGGGGGAAAAACCGAGGTGTCGCCACGAGCGGCGACGCCATCTTAAACACACAAAAAAACGTACAGAGTGGCCAACGCAAAACATGGCGCCGCGAATCAAACCCACGATAACAAAGATACTCCATTCTGCTGTAAACGCTAAAAAAAAATGACTTTTTCTTCAATTTTTTCTGCGAGAATTTGATTTTAAAAATGGGTGTTCAAAATCCTAGGGCCCTGCTTTTGGTTGCTTTTGTACTTTTTAGGCTATGAAAATGATTAATAAAGTTTTAACACGTTTAATTCGTTTCTATTGACTATTTGACCGATTCAAAGTTTTTATTTATTTAATTTCGTAATTATTGACTGTTTTTTTTTGTTATTTGAGTGCCTGATATAGCTGGGCTCGTTCTGATTAGAAATATATTTTCTTTTTTTGCTTCTTTTGGGTTAGTTTGTATTGTTTCATGTAATTAATTGTTGATTTATGTTTATGTAATGGTAGATATTATTAATGGTAGATATAGTTAATGGTAAATTAATTTGTAGATTTTGTACCATTGATTTCAATAAAAATTCAATAAGAAATTAAATAAAAATGTAAAATAAGGAATAAAAGATCAGGAACTCTTTACTCGTCGCGACGCGTTGTTTGTTTAAATAAAATTTGAAGTTTTGTTATAGAATGAGCTTATATTTTCAGTGAGGAATTTTTTTCTCGAAACTGAGTAGGATTTCGAGGGTATGTGTATTAACCAAAAATGATTGTAATTGACCCCTGCAATCAAAAATAATTTTTTTTTTACGATTGGAAATTTTTTAATTTTGTCGAAAAATTTGGGAACCTACTCGAATTTTTTTCTCGAAAATTGTTAGGATTTCGAGGTTACGTCTAATGACCAAAAATGCTTGTAATTGACCCCTTTAACTAAATATAATTTTTTTAG